CATTTATTAAAACTAATTTCTATATTTGAAAATTTGTTACTTCTGCTACTTGTCAGAGTGGTGTTCTTGTCAGAGTAGTGTTCTTGTCAGAGTGGTGTTCTTCCTACGAAATAATTAGAAGACATTATGTTTTAATTTTCTCCAATAATATGTGACAAACAATTATTCCCATTAAGTTGAGTTAATGATTTAACCAAACAGATGGTCAACAAAAAATCTTCTCAAATCCCATGATAAGAAATATAACATTTTTAATGAATGAAAATAAAAATTTTAAATAAGTTTTGAAATCCTAAGATTCATACGGATAATTTTCTGAAACTTTTTAATTATAACATTTATATATTAAAAAGTGGATTATCTTTATATTGGCTAAATGTAACCTTCCCACAATATACCAATTAATAGCACACCCAAACAATCAAAACTTGGCATGGTTAGTAAAAAATACAATCATCCATACCACTTACCATGATGGTTAACTTGACATGATGGGAACTTGACATGATGGTTAACTTGACACATCTAAAGAAGACTCCAGTCTATCTTATGTTCTGTGTTAACATTTCACGTCAATGTCAACTGACTTCGAGAAGAAACAGTATCCCTGTAGAGGCCACCCAAAAATAATACATTTATTTAGAAAAATGAAGCTGAAAGAAGTTATCGACTTTTATAGTGCACAATGTTTTGGCATACCCATACATCTTTATTATTTTTTAAAACCATAGAACTTTCTAAATTGCTTTTATTTTGCCACAAAATGTTTTGCAACAAAATGTTTTGCAGTTGAATAAAGACACCTGACCAATATTTTGTGTCCTATGCAGAAAAGAAAGAACATCTACATATTGTCTTAGTCTTAGAAAGTGTCTGGCTACCAGCCTAATAGCAATAGCCACCGATAATTGGTGACATATTTGCTCAAGTCTAATTATCTATTTAAATTTTTTCTTTTTTTTTTTTTAATGAAGATTGCAATTTTCATCAGCCTCTTCATCATCTCCTGAAAGAAATATTTGTTGTTTTTTTTACAGAAGAAGAAAAATAAAGAAAAATGCAAGAGAGATTAAAAAAAAAAGTTATCTCTGTACTATTGAATTGTCACACTGCCAAAACATTGCGTTTGAAGAATGTTTCCCGACAAAACATTATTTGAAATATTTATATGGTATTGTTTATTTTATATTTTTACTAGCAATAATTAGTCTGCAAACAAAATTTGAAGTAAAAACTTATGTCAATTTTTGCCAGCTATTAAGCTGGTAACCGGACACTTTCTAACGAAAAATATTTCATTTTTAATTTGGGACCGCTGTTCTGATCTGAGGAAAGCCAAAATCTGAAATTGAAAGATGCAGTGTGTGTCATGGATCTTGAATTTACCACAATCACAATGTCACATTGGAGCTGGCGACGGTGGGTCGTTGAGCGTGAGCTCTTAATACCCCCCGGCACACACCCACATGGGCCAACGCCGAGTCTCCCCGCCGCCAGACCGTGCGGAAGCACGCCGGTAACCTGGCCTGGGGGATGTCCGGTCGACTGAAAAACGTTGCGTTTAAAGCTTTCGCGGTCCACTCTCCTTGGGTCTGAAACGGCTTTGCTTCCTCTCTGGGGGAATGGTGTTGCATTACCTCCCCCCAACGTCCAGAAAGTTGTCCAGTCGGGACGTAAGCGGGGACGAAATGGTCGCCTTGGAGCGGCTTTCTCAGGGCCGCGTAGCTAAAATCACCAGCAAGGGTTTTGACCGCCAACCAGGCCTCATATCCATTATCAGCAACAAGTAATCATGTTATTGCATTCCTCCCGTCCCGTTGGGAGTCATGCAGTGGCCGGGGTTTTTTTAGCTTTGGGAGGAAACCTCCCTACCAGTCTGCCACGCCACAAAGAGGCAAATTCCCATGTGGGCGCCATCAATTTTCCTCAGAGACACTCCGCTTCCGCGGACAGCCCCATTCACAACAAATGCTTCCTGCCTTCCATCCAATATAGCCAATATCTGTTAAATTAAAGTTAAATGTAGTATTACTGTTGTTGAACCAACAGTTACCAGTATCTCTACTGGTGGAGTAAAAATAGGTGGTTGGGAATTATAACACCCTATAAACGTGAACTAAGGAATCTTTGAGTTTGTTCCGAGGACTTACACTTGCCTCTTGACTGGACTCACTCTCAGTCACTGATGGCACTCTCACTCAGGTTGGGCTGTTGGCGTCGTTGGGCAGCTGAGGCACGCCGCGGCATGGCGAGTAAGCCGAGACTAAATACTAATGCCGTAAATGCTTAAGTTTAAAGACGAAAGGCAAAAGCCTTCCCACAATCACCAACAAACGCAGACTTGCAAGATAATTACTCAAACAATAAAAGTGATCAATAATAGCATAAAAAATTATTGTTTACATTTCTTAAATATACCCCTAATCCATATTAATAAAAAAACACGAAGATTGAACAGATCAATAAAGTAACTTCCCCTGTAAAATATATATATAATAAATTCGCATTTTTAATGAACATGTCACTAACTGAATACACTGGACTTGTTACACTAAAGTTACTTAAGAGAATGGCATCGATACACTGGCATAGTAAGGGGGTGGAGGGGCGTATTTTTCTGTTTAATAAGAAGGGACATTCTTTTGTCATCTTTTAATTGATAGATTTCACATTTCTTAAACTACTATCTGGCGCATAACTCCCAGGCTCCTCTTGAGGTATATAACACGGAGTATTTTTACACTAAAGATAATCTCCATTTTTGAAGTTTGTTATGAAACGAGACTCAAACGTGTAACTTTCCTCATGTTTACTGACTAATGTTGTGCTGACCGGCAACGAAAGGCTTGACGAACACTGTTTTATATAAGACTTTGAGACCTTGATACTCTCGAGACCATAGGCAGGGGCCAAAGGTGGATCGAGGCACTGAATCGGTCTCACGAGACTTATAGACCATTTATGGGTCTCGGGCATAAATAACTGCTTAAGTAGGTCTATATTATAATTTAAATAAATATATTTAATTTGTTTTATGTAATAGGCCTAAAAAACATCGATGAAAAAATATATGAAATATTGAAAAAAATAAAGTAAAATAAAGCAAAGTCTAGAAAGATTCTAGCTCGCTAGTTTTGGTGTTGAGTCTCAAAATTTGTCTGCTGATTTTCTACGACTTCATAAAGTTCATCAATTTTCCTCGCATCAGGTCACGTGATGATTGCTACTTTCTTAAAAACATTAACATTGGTCATTGGTATTGAATTTCTTTTAAATATTTGATAAAGCAATGTTTCATCATCCCAATTTCTCATCAAGCACATTTCGTTTTCCAGAACGCACAATTTCAACGCCCAAATTCTCTTGTTCTTTACCTAACTGGACATTTGCTCATTCTGCATTTTTTTTTAACAACGTCGCATTCTTGCCAAATGTTATATTATTCATTTTCTCAATTGTGTTTTCGGTAAAATCAATTCCTTTTGCTTTAAATGTTTTTAAAGAAATTTTGCTTGTTGAAAAATTCGCAAATAGTATTTTTAAAAACAACAACGTTTGAAATGCTTTTCTTGAATCGTAGGCCTATTTCCCAATTTGAAAATGTATTTGGGTCACATTTTTGTGTGACGAGGTGGGGGGGGGGGCTAAACAGTTTGAGCTCACATTATTGAAAAAAATTGACACTTAATAACACTAAATTACATTATTATTACTAAATAGCATTACTCTTTTATACAACAATTATAATTATTTTATTTTAAAACTATAATTACTGAGAGAATCAGTACAGGTATGCGAGGTCCCAAAAATGGAATCTGATCAAGGTACAGGCCACCATGGAGGAGAAGAATTGGGGTGTAGTGACTTTGACAGTCGTGAGAATTAATGTGAAATGTGGTGTCGGGAGTCATGGAGTTAGGGTTACCATGTGAAGTGGGATGGAACTAAATATGGTTGACGGGGTGGAGTGATTTTTAGTAAATGTTCCAGGGTATGGATTCTTAACCTTTTCGCAGCGCTTCACAGCTTCTCAAATACAAAACATTTTCCCCAACCCACCCCTACGCATAGTTATATTGTAATTCAATTTTAAAAATGATAATACTTAAATAATATGGTTATTGTCGTTTTATTTATTTAACTCTAATTAGCTTTCTAGAAACAAGAAAGATATTTACTGCTGATATTCAAAATGCATAAAAACGTTTTTTTTAATTAAAAAAATTAAAGACAGCAACAACTAGCAATAACAGTAAATACACATTTCTGGGTCTTCCGCTCCTTAGGGGACGATTGACCCCTGGTTAAGAACCACTGTTCTAGATAATCTTTGTATTAATTCGATATCCATGGGAGGTGAATTTTTTAAGAGTTTATAAAGGGTAACAATGGACATAGGGATTTTATTATTTTTTTTTATAAAAGAAGGAAGGGGGAGGGGTTGTGACGTTATACTTGAGGGGGTGGGGTCCAACTTTTTGTGACTATTTGTGACAATGGGGAGGGGGGTAAAAAATCGGCAAAATTTGTGTGACATAATTTAATTTATGGATGGTCCCTTTGGAGCCTCCCTACAACTTTTCTGAACGCAATCCTTCGTCCTCATGGTAAATAGCCAAGGCCGCTGCAGCCGCAGTGGCTGCAGAGCCCACGCGACGTCTCTGATTCTTAGTAAATTTAGAGCGATATTAATATGAGATCGAAGCAAATTTATGTTAGATACTCTATAATTTAAATCACAGAAATATAAAAAGTTCTTATCTTTTGCTCAAAGCAAAGCTACGGTTTACTCTGACTTCATAACACATTTTTATTCATATATATTCTTTTAGCGGGTAGCGGTCGTCGTGTCGGCCCCAAAAATGATATAAAATCTTGATGACATTGAATTCCAACTCAAATTTGATTATATTCTATCATACTCGTTATCGAACCTTTTACAAGATCCATAATTACAAGTGATTAAAAAAAATTATTATGATCTGTATAGCTGCCGATCCACTGGTCACAGTTATCTGAATCTTGCCAGTTAAGAAATAGTAAGAGAGCTTCTATTTGCGCATATTCATCATGGCGACGGAAACTAACGATGGTCCTAATCAGAAAATGGAAGTAGACTTCAGTTCTACTGTAGAAGAAAAAGTTCCACTTTTTGAAGCGCTTGCGAAGGTATATTTCAATTAATTTAGATATTCTATATAATAATATAATATTGTGAAATTCATTTAGACGTTAGGTCGATCATCATTCAATCATTGTCATTAATTCATTTAATTAATTTTTTAATAATGATTTTATTTATTTAGTTTTACTGTTTGTATTACTAGTTACTGTAGTCTGTAAAATTCAGTGTATTGTTGATTGACTTAGTTGTGTAGTGTAGTGAATTAGTCAGACTTAGTGATAGTCCACTTAGGAGGGATAGTGATTAGTGGCCTTACCCTTACTTATTACAGCCCCACACCCCCTCTTCATTTCAAAACATCCCCCCCCCCTCCCTCTTGATTTCAAAACATTCCCCCATCCCCACGATTAAAAATACTATTAATTTCAGGCCCTAAATTAGGGGGACTTAGGATTTGTTACTTAGTTAAAATTATAGAAGTAGGACTATTTAATTTAAAATTACTCCAATTAGCTTACAAACAATCTGAGTCTGAGTACATTTATCAGTTTGAGTTTGTTAATAAAAAAAGTAGTAGTAGTAGTCTTCAACTTAGAGGTTAGTAGTTTAAGCAATTCTATGTCCTAGTCAGCAGTGATTAGATTTTTAGATGTACTATTGTACTACTTGACTAAGTTACTTATTGACTTTTTGTCTTTCAAGTCAAAGTTTTTGATTTTTTCTTTGTGTTTACAATTTCAATAAGACTTAATTTCCTTGAGCCTAGCCTACATTGCTACATCATAATAATTTATTTTATTTTGATAACTCGTTTTCTGGGTTGGGTATTGACAGTATTGTCGTGTCTGTAGTAGTAATTGTATTAGTATTCATAATGAAGAAACCCCCGAAAGTCAGTTGTTGTTGATGTTAATAACTAGATAATAATTTAACCTCAGTCTAAGTCGACTAAGTCTAGACCTAGTGAAAACCTTAAAAATAAAATTGCATTGGCAAAGCCCCTATTTACATTAGATTAATAACTAATAAACAAGACTCATATTAATTTTAAAATATTATATTTATGCCACCTAAATTAAATAAGTAGAAAGCTTAACTTCACTCAAATATTTTTGAGCAGAATGTTATTAATTTTTAGTGAATTTAGTATCTGGTCCAAGAAGTGCTGAGAACCAAAAAGGTCCAAATTAAATCATAATTTTAATAATTCAGTTAGGCTAGTTATGTTACACTTGCCTGATTTGGTGACTTAGGCATTAGGGATTCAATCATAGGTATAACTTATAACTAAAAATATTCCAGCAATTTGTCCTTTGTGTTATAATAAAAATAACATGCTAACTTTAATTAATTCAATATTTCAGCAAGGCAAGTTATCAGAGGCAATAGATGGCTTGATGTCTCTTGAAAAGCAGACAAGAACTGTGAGTAGGCCTACTGATAATGTTATGTCTTAAATAAAATTATGAAATAAAAAAAATTAAATTTTGTTTCTTTTACTTTTAATCATGTAAATATTGTTAAACAAAAATTGTTGATTTGCAGTAGGGCTGGAATACACATTTATAAACAAAGCAATATGAAAGATAAACAGATTATATGATGACTAATTTGGTTGAAAGTAAAGAAAAACCACCCATTCCTTAGAAAGTGAAATCTCTAAGGAAGTGTGCCCCATGGCCATGAAGTGGAATACAATTACAAGTTGAATTAATTAAACAAAGATTGGCTAAAAATGGAACACCGATAAAATACAAGATGATAATACGTATGTCATATGAAATAACAAGGGAGCAACACAAAGTTAGCATGGGGGGGGGGAGAAAAGATGGAACTATGAAACACAATTACTTACTATGAAAATTCAAAGGGATTATTTTGAGTAAATTTGACATAAATGTTCATTTAAATATGTCTCCAATCACATCCTGTTTGTCAACTAGATTTCTCTCTAATTCTACTCTCACAGGCTGCAGATACACACTCCACAAGTCGCATTTTAGTAGCTATTGTGAAAATTTGTTTTGAAGCAAAAAACTGGGATGCTCTTAATGAGAATATTGTTCTCCTGACAAAGAAGCGGGGACAAATTAAACAGGTATAGATCTATTCAAAATTTACCATGACCATGATGACTATTTTTTTTTATTACTTCTCTTTTTTTTTTAAAAAGTATTTACTTTAAAAGTATAAAAGTATCTTTTACCTGTTATTTTTTTAATGAAACTTTGTTCGATGTTGAAATGTTTTACTTTGACCATGCTCAATAATAAAAAAAATTTCTGAAATTTATTCAAAGGAAAGTTGTTCCAACTGAAAGTGTGTTCAAAATGAAATTTATTAAGCTGAGATTTATTTTTAATGTATTTTAAGGGCGGATAGGAGTGATAAATAAGGAAAATGTCCATTTAGAAACAATTAATTTTTTTCATTTCCGACATACTTCCGTTCAAACAAATGTCTTTCCTATACATTTCCGGTAACAACCAACAGATATATGATTAAATAAAAAAAATCACAATAATCATGAGGTATTTTAGAATCGCAAACTTCAATAATCTTGACGCTATTTTGAATTTAACACTTTCAGGTTAAAGAGTTGGTTAATTGTTTATTTTTTCTTTAGTCTGTGACAAAGATGATCCAAGAAGCATGTGGCTATGTAGAGAGTACACCAAGTAAAGAAGTCAAACTGAAGCTTATTGACACCCTAAGATCTGTAACTGCTGGCAAGGTATGATTTAAGATGATTTTTTAAATCAATTTTAGCTGAAATAAATTTGATAGCCTGACCACGACTGAGAAGAAATCATGATTACTTTAAAGTTTTTACATAAAAAGATGTGTTGAGGTTCTTAAAAAAAACATTACTAGTCAACAATCTCTTTTAACTGTTTTATAAAATATTTGAAATTTATTGTTATCACATTCTAATTAATCCATTCAGATTTATGTTGAGATTGAAAGGGCTCGACTTACCAGAACACTGGCCAAAATCCGTGAGGATGAAGGTGATATTGCTACAGCTGCTAATGTATTGCAAGAGTTGCAGGTAAAGTTCTCCTTTCCATTTAAAAAAAGTTTTTAAACTTAAATAAAAAGATGTTAGTGTGTTCAGAATTAAGTGATATGTGTTGCAGCCGGTTTCATCCTGTTGTTTTTGTGTTTCTTATAAAACTAATTTCTAAAATTCTACAAAACACCATTCAAGTATTAAATGCTTCTTATTTCAAAACTGATAATGCAACTAACAAATCATTTTTAGGTTGAAACATTTGGATCAATGGAACGAAAGGAAAAGGTCGAATTTATTTTGGAGCAGATGCGGTTATGTTTGGCAAAAAAAGATTACATACGTACCCAGATCATCAGTAAGAAAATAAGCATCAAGTTTTTTGAAGACTCAGACACTGTGGTGAGTTGGTTTGGTAATACTCATATTGTGACAAAGATTATTTCTTCTGATTAAACTAAATTTTTGAAAATAACTAGTATGATACAGATGAGATGAATATAACCTGTATAAAATATGGAGATCTCAGCGGGAAAAACAGTCAAGCTACAAATGTTGATATTTCCAGGTTCTAAAGATTAATGTGGCAGTGCAAAAATCTCTTAAAGCGTATAAATTTCCAAAATAAAATGGCATCTCCAAGTACAAGCTGAGCTATAAAATAGTATTGTTAGGTGCAAATCTTTTAATATTCAAACTCTTAAATCCTTTTCTCTCAAAATGTCTAAATTTGATATTTTACGTTTTTTCTTCTGAGGTTCTCATGTGTGCTGTGCATCTATATATTTCTAAGATGATTTTGTCTCAGTTTTTGTTCTTCACCAATGAGTACTCAATAAATTTGAAAAATCTGCAATTTTTGGGGTTATTTAATTTTGTTGAGTGTGTCTTGTTTTTGAGGAATGCTGGTTGATGATGTATGGAAAAGAAATATTTGTGCTTAATGTTTTTCGAGGCTGTGACAACATTTAACTTTACTTGCCTGTAGTTATTGAACTTGTTTTAAGACCTCATCTTTTTTTCTAGGACTTAAAGCTGAAGTTTTATCACTTAATGATTGAGCTGGACCAACATGAGGGATCTTATCTGGCAATTTGCAAGCATTACATGGCTATCTATAATACAGAGCAGATACAGAATGACAAGGAGAAACTGAAAGAAGTGAGGGCATTTTTATTGACTTGTGGTCAGTCTTTGATGTGTAAAGGTGTTAATAATACCCCCCAAAAAATATTATAAATATTTGATCTCCTCTGTAGCTAACTATGTACTAGAAACAAAAACATGTCTACCTTGCCCCTCTCCAATGCTTTTGATTTTGAGTTCACATAAAACCTAAGGGCTATTTTACCACCATCCCCTTTCCTGACTAAAAACAGAAGTACCGGTAAGACTTGTGACATAAGTTTGTATTGAAAAATTTATCAAAACGTGCATACAATTTTAGCCATATTTAAGAGTGAGTTTGTGATATGTAACATTAAATTTGTTTCCCCTACAAAATTAGCACTTTTAAATTTTTTTGATGGAAAACGTGATAGCTTCCTTGATATATGACAAAGTATTTTTTTAAAAATACAGGTTTTTTTTTGTTTGTTTTTTTCTCCCCAGGCCTTACGATGTGTGGTAATATACTTGGTTCTTGCCCCATTTGATAATGAACAATCAGATCTCTTACACAGAGTGTCACAAGACAAAAATCTGGAGGAGATTGGATTTTATCAGTAACTTTATTTTCTTTTGCTACACATGTTTAAAGACCTTATATTAAAGCATGGGAAACTTTTTACAATATGCAATGCTAGATTGGCTTGAAAATAATCTCATTGTCCGAAACTAATCTTAAAAATATGTGCATAATAATAATATTTTGTAAGGACCAATTTATTATTTAGACTTGCTATTGCTAAGGCTAAGAATATAAACTTAACATCTTTGTAGGCATTTTAAAGCAACTTATACAATCATCCAACTCATCATTGTTGCCTTAGTTAGGTTGCACTGTAAAAAGTCTACAATTTTTGTGTTGTTTAGAAAATTCCTCAAAAATTTCACAACAAATGAAATTATTAACTGGAGCCAATTGTGCAAGGAGTACGAGAAAGGTCTGAAGACTGGAGACACTGCAACTAATGTCTTTGTGGCCAGCAACAAGGTGGAGGGTGGTGATAAACGATGGGCTGATTTAAAAAATAGAGTTGTAGAACATGTAAGTCAGTTAAAACAAAATACATATTTTTCATTCTAGAATTAAGCTCCTTGATGCCTGTGAGATACAAACCTAGATGCACATAAGTTTCAAAAGTTCTCCAATGTCTATTAAAGCAATTTCTGCTGCATCTAATGAGGCGTTGTTTTTATGTTCAATTTAGGAAAGCTTCCAACTTCTATTTATCATCATAGTCCAAATTTCTGGCCATAGTAAGATTTTATTTAAAAATTGTATAGGTATTTGTCAGTTTACACCTGCACAAAACAGTCTTGAATCAAATTTAAATATATAATAATTTTTTTTAAAAATGTTACTGTTTATATACATTCTTGCTGTGTTCTTATTGTAAATTGGTCTGCCTATCATAAGTCAATTTTCAATGCATTGTGTTCTGCTGACTTACTCATATAAAATGCATGCATTTATTTCATTTTTTTTCTTTTTAGAATATCAGAGTAATGGCTAAATATTATACAAGGCTACGTATGCAGAGAATGGCAGAATTATTGGATCTTACAGAAAATGTAAGTTACTGAATCTTGTGCATGGATACAAAATAAAAAGCACTTGGTTATGATTACTTTAAATTCGGCTAGGCTGATCAGTGTCACTTGAACAGCAAGAAGTAAATTCATGGATATTCTCCCCTTCCCTGAACATGTGTAAGGGAGTTTGCCTAAAGGTTTAATAAATAAAAAATGAGTAAATGAAAGCAGTTGTTTATTATCAGACTTATATCAAATTTGTGATTTTTCACACTTGTTATGAATAGCAGAGAACCGGTCTAACATGTGGATGGCAACAACATTTTCTATTTTAAAACCCCCCAGCATCACAATTAAACAGCCGTAACACAACTATCTTCTTTATGAGTTGCCGTAACACTACTATCTTCTTTATGTGTTGCCGTAACACAACTATCTTCTTTATCAGTTGCCATAAACTGATATCTCAATGGAAATTGGCTTCAATAATATCTGAAAGAGTCCCTGCACATACATGCAAAAGTCACAGCAGCCACTCTCTAATTTGGCAGTCTAAACCTTTTCCTCTTAAAGTTATGTAAAATATGTACAAGTAAACGTATAAATTTAAATATTTTAAATATAAAGAGCTTGTGTCAATGAGCATAAAGGAAGAAAATAAAACCCAGGCGTTAGAGATTATTCTATTCAAAGTAGTTGAATGTTTCCTGGACTTTGAGCATAGGAAAATTATGCAGAATGGCTAACAGTTAGGATTTTAATTGTCTAGTGTTGGTTTAAACACTAATCATTTAGTTCTTGTAACCATTGAGATTATCTTCACCAGTCGCCCATTGGTTTGTGTACTACTGCCGTAAAATGTGTTTTTCAATGAAGAGAAACAGCCTTAACTTATAGAGAACTTTCTTTCCCAGGAAACTGAAGAATTTCTTTCCAATCTGGTGGTCAACAAGACAGTTGAAGCCAAGATAGACCGCCTGGCCGGCGTTGTCAGCTTCAGTCAGGCAAAAGATCCCAATTCGGTGCTAAACGCGTGGTCGTCTCGGCTCTCGGACCTGATGCACCTCATTCACAAAACCAACCACTTGATCAATAAAGAAAACATGGTTCACAGACTTATCCCGGGGGATATCAAATTGTCAGCCTAAGTCTAGAGCCACTTTGAAAATATGATACAGGTTAACAGTGTAGGGTCTGAATGGTTTATGGATGAAAGACTTTGACAAGTTCATTATATCTTAGCTATTAACCTGACTTATTCCATATCTGTGTCGTTGTGTGAAAATAGCAAATGTTTTGAGATATCGTTGGTAAATAAATTCACCGTTTTCAAACTTGCACATTGTGTTGTTTCCATTTTTATGTCTTGTTAATGGAGGACAGTCTGCACAATTAATTCATAGAAATGCTACATTATTGGAACATGACATTATTTAATTTCAAAGTAATCTTCCCAGGAATTGTGTATTCTGTGTATATAGTGAAAGACAGTAGATAATAATTTATTTCTAACATGAATGTATTTATACTGAGAGCAGAAAATGCCACCAACTGGGGTTTGACAGACAGCAGTCGGCAGAAAATGCCATCAACTGGGGTTTGACATACAGCAGAAAAAGCCACCAACTGGGGTTTGGCAGACAGCAGGCAATGCCACCAGCTGGTGTTGACAATTTCTTAAAGGATTTATTCAAATTTTAACGGGACCAGAATTATTGTTTATTCTAATGAAAGGCAGAAACATGTTGGGGAAAATGTAGATATATTATGTTTTACATCAGACCTGCAAAACTCAAAACGTAAGGCGGGCCGTAATACTTATGAAAAACTTGTGCGGGCCAAAAGAAAATAGGATATGAGGGAAAGCTATTAAGAAAATAATAAGAATGAAGAATGTTTCGCAAAAGTGGATGCTGGCGGGCCACATGCGGGCCGTATGTTGTGCAGGCCTGTTTTACATAATAAGGCTAAAAGATAATACATCATTGGGGTGTTTAAAAAAGCAAAAGTCAGACAAACTGGGAGTGGGTGGGTAAAACAAAAGCCAGACAGATCGGGAGTGGTTGGGTAAAACAAAAGCCAGACAGATCGGGAGTGGTTGGGTAAAACAAAAGCCAGACAGACGGGGAGTGGGTGGGTAAAACAAAAGCCAGACAGACTGGGAGTGGGTGGGTAAAACAAAAGCCAGACAGATCGGGAGTGAGTGAATAAAAAGAAAAAAAACAATGTGGAAAACAAAAATAAACGTCTAAGTTACCCGGTATTCTGTTTTCGTGGCACAGTAGTGGATCCCGAACCACCAATGGGGTAAAGCTAGGCTTGGTGAAGGTCACCAGAGTTACAGAAAGGTCTACCCAGGACTTCATTTATGAGAACAATACATTTAAAAGAAAAGAAAGTGATCCATCTTTCGGGGTTAACGGGGAGACAAGTAGATCACTAACGGGGAGACAAGTAGATCACTAACGGGGAGACAAGTAGATCACTAACGGGGAGACAAGTAGATCACTAACGGGGAGACAAGTAGATCACTAACGGGGAGACAAGTAGATCACTAACGGGGAGACAAGTAGATCACTAACGGGGAGACAAGTAGATCACTAACGCGTAGACAAGTAGATCACTAACGGGGAGACAAGTAGATCACTAACGGGGAGACAAGTAGATCACTAACGCGTAGACAAGTAGATCACTAACGGGGAGACAAGTAGATCACTAACGGGGAGACAAGTAGATCACTAACGCGTTCACTAACGGGGAGACAAGTAGATCACTAACGGGGAGACAAGTAGATCACTAACGCGTAGACAAGTAGATCACTAACGGGGAGACAAGTAGATCACTAACGGGGAGACAAGTAGATCACTAACGCGTAGACAAGTAGATCACTAACGGGGAGACAAGTAGATCACTAACGGGGAGACAAGTAGATCACTAACGGGGAGACAAGTAGATCACTAACGGGGAGACAAGTAGATCACTAACGGGGAGACAAGTAGATCACTAACGCGTAGACAAGTAGATCACTAACGGGGAGACAAGTAGATCACTAACGGGGAGACAAGTAGATCACTAACGCGTGACGTCATTAGTATCCAGCGTTGAGATAAAAAAAAAACAACCTATACTTGGTGCGTATTCTTGGTCTACCAGGTTCTCACTTAAGATTAGATACGGTTGGGTTCAATAGAAGGATGCGGTTGGTCTAATGATACTATAGTACAGAAGTCCACTTCTTATTCAGTGGTCCTCAGGAAACCACCAAACAAGACCTTAAGGAAGCCTGATACCGTACTAAAAAGTGTTACACATGTGCCTACAGCCCCTTCAAATGTCAACAAATCCGAATAATCTTAACAATTAACTTTTTTTTTCTCCAGATATCGTTTTAATCTCATGTTTTATGATGCCTGAAAATTTTAGCCCTTAATTTGAGAACCGTTCAACAAATGGGTTAAGTTATCATAACGTTCAATCAAGTTTTGGTGTATCTATTGTTTCCGTCTTGGCCTATTCACGAGGCAACACAATGGATGAAACACTCACAGGCTTTAAGAGTACCATTTGGATATTTTTAAGTTTAACTTTTCTTCTGTACCCATCAGATGGAGCAGGTAAATATTTGGGTAACCCCCAAGGGAAGGGTGTTGTTAAAATGGTTATTTAACTCAATTAAACATAATTCAACAAGCTTGTGATACAGGTCATTTTTAGAAGCATTTCTTCATATAAACCACGCGTTATATTCAGAACATTGTCTAAAACTGAAATAAGCCATCGTCTGGGGCGCTACAGCCCATGTAGTGCACTGGCCTGTCGCACCACATCTTTCCATTCGCATCGATCCATGGCCTTCCGACTCCATGCGCAGAACCCCAGCTGATGTAAGTTCTTCTCTACATCGTCAATCCATCTCAGTCATGGTCGACGACCCTGGGCCGTCAGCCACTAGGTTTCTGCCTTTATATCAATTTTCCTGCTCTACAGTCCTGAATCCTCCTAAGGTGTCCTGTCCAGAATACCACAAAAGAAGGCCTACCGATAACAGGTATATAGTCATTATTTTGCCAGGATGAGCAGACATGTCAACGTCATTAATGAGCTGGGGCTGACCTTGAAAGATTGGCACCTCCAATGGCTACATGATTAAAAAAGCTATTCCGGAGTTTCAAATCATGTTAAAAACTGAGTGTCTTTTAAAAACTTTCCTTCTACTCATACACCCATGGGGTTTGTAGCATAATTTTGTTGTTTGTCACATTTGAGCCTCTCACTCGGTAAATTGCACCTGTCTTGTTCAAAGAACTGAGGGATTAGGGTGGGTATCTGAGTTCAGGTGAGGGCTGTCAGATCTGGGGAGTGTGGCTCTGAAGGGATTAGGGCATACGGTAATTAGGCTCGGATCAACAGACGGCGAGTACTCAGGGATTACAACGCCACAGTCGTTTAAGTCCTCTTTTTAGTTGCATGCCTAGGTAAAGAGGTAAGTCACTTTAACCGGGCTTTTGTAAAAAAGTAAACAATTCTTCCTTTGGTCAATAATTTTAAGATTACAATTTTAATTCTTATACTTAGAGAAAAAAACAACTTCATTATGAAAAACAAAACATATTTAAGTTTCGCCTTCATTTAATATTTGAATCCTTCGGCTTCATAGAATGCTTTTCTACACTTCTTCACAGACATTCTAAGCGTAATCCATGATAAGAGATTTTTCTTTCTTTCTTTCTTTCTTTCTTTCTTTCTTTCTTTCTTTCTTTCTTTCTTTCTTTCTTTCTTTCTTTCTTTGTTTCTTTCTTTGTTTCTTTGTTTCTTTCTTTGTTTCTTTGTTTCTTTCTTTGTTTCTTTGTTTCTTTGTTTGTTTCTTTGTTTCTTTGTTTCTTTGTTTGTTTCTTTGTTTCTTTGTTTCTTTGTTTGTTTGTTTGTTTGTTTGTTTGTTTGTTTGTTTGTTTGTTTGTTTCTTTCTTTCTTTCTTTCTTTCTTTCTTTCTTTCTTTCTTTCTTTCTTTCTTTCTTTCTTTCTTTCTTGCTTTCTTTCTTTCTTTCTTTCTTTCTTTCTTTCTTTCTTTCTTTCTTTCTTTCTTTCTTGCTTTCTTTCTTTCTTTCTTTCTTTCTTTCTTTCTTTCTTTCTTTCTTTCTTTCTTTCTTTCTTTCTTTCTTTCTTCTGTTATATTTGAATTTAGTTTTAAATCATTACAAAACTGTATCCCGCAGCAGTGACCAGTGTGTCCTGTCCACCCCAAGCAGTCAAATGCAACAGCACCAACACCTGCATACAATCCAAATACGTATGTGATGGAGATGCTGACTGCCAGGACGGGGAAGATGAACTCAATTGTAACGTCCAAGGTTTGTGCTATCAATAAACATAAGAACAGCGGTGTGTGAAGGAGTCGAAAGGCAGAGGATGCGTGAAACGAAGTCCTTGCATGAAAAAAAGCTTTACGGAAGGCCACATTAAATCAGGAGTCGAGGTTCTGCTGCGAAAAATGCAGCCGAGACGGGCATTTCAGACCCGGCCAATTAAGCCACTTGATGAAGTTCCATAGCTGCTCAATCGTTTCGAGACGACGGAAGGATGTCATATTTATTTTACCTGAATCATATCGATACAATTCTCAGTAACATTTTCCTAACATCCTTTAAAATAAAAGGTGCTTTGAAATTTAACAGAAATTGTGAAAATAGTTTTTTAAGAACTAAATCTAAACGAATCTAAATATGAAATAGCACGTTTTTGTTTTTGTTTTTTGTTTTTACAAACCGTACCTCAATGTGAAGTGGTTGTTAGTTTAAAAGTTTTACAGACTACACCGATTTCGGAAAAACACATGCATACAGACTAGACCGATACGGAACAACACATGCATACAGACTAAACCGATACGGAGCAACACATGCATACAGACTAAACCGATACGGAACAACAAATGCATACAGACTACACCGATTTCGGAACAACACATGCATTCACATATTAAACCTATTTCGGAACAACACATGCATACAGACTACACCGATTTCGGAACAACACATGCATACAGACTACACCGATCTCGGAACAACACATGCATTCACAGACTACACCGATTTCGGAACAACACATGCATACAGACTAAACCGATTTCGGAACAACACATGCATACAGACTACACCGATTTCGGATCAACCCATGCAGTGGCATGTTGCCTGTTAACGATATTGTTGCATATTTTGTTCCAGCGTCCGGCTGTGGTGATCAAGCCTACAAAACCGCACCGAGTGGTTCTCTAGCAAGTATGGACTACCCCAAAAATTACAGTTCATTCGCGAACTGTCAGTGGCACATCAATGTTCCCAG